TATTTTAATACTTACTTGCAAAATATCAGCTACAGTGTTGACTAAACATCAAAAGTCAGAATTTAACAATATATAAAACTTTATAATTATTATAATAATATGTTATAACTATAATAATGATTTTATGGTAATTCGTTCATGCTTAAAATATTTGCTTTCAAATTTTTTTTTCTATATATACTTTAAACTTTTGTTTTATAATGACAACTTTCAAATTTATAAATTATCAAAAAGTTTAAATTTATTTTAAAACAAGAATATAATTTATAGCACAAAATACACAGAGACTAGAAAGTAAAACACCGGGACTAAAGAAATAAACTACAAAATAAAATAAAAATATTAATGCTCATACATCAAAAGAGAAAAAAATATCTGACATAGAAATAAAATCGAAAATTTTCCATTATTCGATATATATAATGTACTATTATTATTCGATGTAGTATATAAAAATTTCAATTATATACTGTAAATGCTCAATTCTATATACAAATGAAATGACTAAAAATAATAAAACTTATTCAAGCATTATAAATTTACTATTTGATTTCAAGAAAATCGGACCAATAATGTTTAAAAAAATAACATCGCTTGTTTTAGATCACCGCAATTCAATTAAACATTCTTAAATATAAACATGTTTTGAATACATAATTATTTATAAGAATTTTTTTCTCTTTGACTATCCGTGAAAAATAATCTACAGAAAAACTAAAACAATTATAAATAAAAAAAATTTAAAAACAAGCAACAATTGGCACAAAAATGACTAAATTCTATGTGAAGTCAAAATATTAACAATAATAAAACAATTTTATTAATATAAAAAAATAAATATATATATATAGTGTATAATAAATTCTCTCTTAATTACAATTTTTGGTATATGCCTTTAATTTGTAATAAAAATTACTTAACAAATAATTTTAACTGCAGTTAAATCGATCACATTTTTTAAAAATTAAAATAAACAGCTAATTAAAACAAAAATAAGCACTAAATATTTTAAAAGACATAAGTTACATTTAAAATTATAACTAACAATTATAAAATTAGGTTATTATTATACATTAAGATGTAGATTTAAGTAATTTTTTTGAGTTCAATATGTATTGAATAATATCAATATTAGATTCAACCTAAATTTAGTAGTAAAAACAAAGAGGTCATTTCCTATAAAGCTGAAAGTTTTTATGAATAGTTCTTATTTTAATAGTTTAATTTTACTGTTAGTATTACAAGTTAAAATATAGGATTAGTTTTTAGTTACTTTAAATTAAAACAAAAAAATTCTTTGTTTATTAAAAATCAATAACATCATAAAAATTCATTAGCTATATAATAAGTAGTACTTCTAATAAGTAATATATATTATTATCTTATAAAAAATTCAAATTTTAAGTTAGTAAGTGAAAGTCATTCACAAGACTACTTATGACTAAAGAAATAGAAAAATTATGGTCGTATAAATAATCGTATGTATTGATAGCTATTTTTAATTAATGCCTGTTTTTGAATCTAATACTAAGTAAATATGAGAAAAATGCATTTAATTTGTTTTATAACTATTATTATAGTAATTTAAATTTGTCTTCTCAATAACTTCGGTCGTGATTCATTTTAAAGTAAAACATGAAAACTGAAATTAATATTTCAGAAATCAATAATTATTAGTCTCAAATAAATTAAAATGAACATAAAAAACATTTCTAGAGTATATGGTTTATTATATTTTGATTTCATATAATAATTTTAATTGTTATTTGATTTAATAACCATCATTTTTTCAGAAAATAAAATATGGTTAATTTCAGATAAACTTTTACATAAAATAACACAAATTCAAAAGCAACTAGAAATAGCAACTAGAGACACATCAAAAAACATCACAGAAAAACGAAGAACCTCAGCAAGTATGCCCAACTACGAAACTCAATCTATCTGTATGTTAAGTTAACTTTCCTAATGCAATATATTAAAACTTCTAACTAAAGCTGTACAATGCACTTTATATACACAAATACATACATGAATTAAAATAATGCATTTGATTAGCGTCATGAGTAAAATGAAAATGCAGTCAGGGTTTTCATTCAAGAAGAGGAAGACCAAAAATTATGTTGTTTCATTCATGAGAAAACAAAAATGTGAGTAGATTTGAGATTTTCAGCACTGGTTGGTTAGAAATCAAAACCAAAAAAACACTATAAAGATCTAAAATTGATGGAAAAAAGGACTAAAAACAAACACAAAGAAAACAAATCACGACAGGGAGAATAACACCGGGTTCACGTTTCAAAATACAAGAGTTTAGTTGATTTAGTTTTATCTCAGCAATTTACAACTACATAAATCTATAATTGTATAATAACTGTATTTACATTTCTAGAAAAATCAACAAAAAATATACAGACTAGTGTAAATCAGTATTTAGAAATAACAGTAAAGGCACTGGGTAGTGCCAAAAAAAAAAAAGAGAAATAATTTATGAAGCAACAATAAAAAATATGTTAATGTAAAGCTAGAAATATCTATGATAACAAATACATAAATTCTCAAACAATTTTCTTCTTTTCACAACAGATTAAAATCACTAGGGATTTTATTTTCGAACATATGGCACTTATCACTGATTAAAAAACAAATTACCAACTGATAAATAAGCTTACATCATTGAAAAACTCTTTATCACTAAAAAAAAAACTTTTCTATGTACAAATCAAACTAGATAAAAGGGAATAAATACAAAAACCCAAAAAAAGAATTAGAAATTTAGAAAAAAGATGCCTTTTTTTAAAGCCTATTAGTAGAATGAGTTATTAATAAAAAAAGTAATAAATTTTTAGATGAGTGAAAAATTCTAAACTTTAAATTTTCTCTACTGCTTATAATTTTAGAGCATATAATATGTTTCATGAATAGTTTGAATTGGAATAGATATTAATAAGGTGTTATATAATCATAAATTAATAGAGGTGCTTCAATAAATAGAAGTTTAATAGAATAAGCCTAGAAGAGATTAACATACTGAATTTTTTAAAATATGAAATACCTGAGATTATTATAGAAAGAATTAATTAGCTTGATTGCACCATAGGGTGCTGTTAGCACCATAGCATAATCCTAATAAAGAAAACCAAACCCTAGAATGAAGCCAAGTTCTATATATTTGTAATCTTTGGCATCTTGTATCAATTCTTAAGTTATTTCATTCTCAAAACTTAAAAAGACTATATTTCAAATCGGAAACAATATAATATTTTTTTTTAGAATATTTGTGCAAAAACAGTTAACAATATCTCACAGCATTGTAGCTCTGAAAATAACAATATTATTGCTTTTCTTTAATCACATTTTTATTTCTCCGACACATAAAAAGGCAATATATACTTCTTCTATTTAAGGGATTTGAAAAAATTAAATAGAGGTGCTTACGTCACATACAAAAAATGGGGGAAAGAAAATAAAAAAAATCATCTCTCTCTCTCTCTTTCACAGTGATTAAGTTCAGAAAAATATTTAGATCACTTTATGAATAGAAAAATGGATAAATTTGTTTTCTTTTCTTCCACATGGGATGGGGAGGGATAATGAGAGAAAAGGCTACTCTACAGAGGAAAAGAAAGGGCACGAATGAAAAAATGCCCTGATTTTTTAATTTATCAACAAGTTATTCCTAAAAGATCTAGGAATAGTTTTTTATTCGTTCGCCAAAGAGGCAAAAATTTAAAATGATTAACATTAACTCTACTTTTCATGAATAACTCTACTTGAAAAATGTAATAGATTCAACAATGTCAAAAGAGACTGAATCAAGAGCACTTATAGTAGTACTTTTTATTTCATCTTTAAAATGCACAGAGGCGCCAAAGGCAGGCGGAGAATAATTTTTGCGTGACTTAATCACTCAAGAGAATATAGATTGAGAATATTTTTCTTTTAGTGACTAACTCACTCGTGAGAATAAATGTATCAAGATTTTCTTTTTTTGGTGACAAAGTCACTCAAGAGAATATTATAAGAGTTGAATGATCTTTCTTTTTAGGAGTGAGGAATTAAAGCTGAAATGTCTAATTCACTCGTAAGAGTAGAAAAAGGTAAGTTGCGAATAAATTTCAAATTTAGAAGGGAAAAAAAACAATAGTGTTTTACATGAAGAAAAAGGTATTAAAAATCTGAATTTGTGAAGTCAAGTTTTAAAGAGAACCTCCCTTGCCTTTTATTGACGCCTCTGGTAATATATACTACATTCTATGACTTCTACATTTGTTTTAAATGGCGCATATTTGTCAGGAGCAGAAAAGTGTTAAAAATAAAAACTTTTCTTTACATTTCTAGCAGCAACTAATTTCTATAATCGTAGCTATAATTCTATATCTTCTACTTTTCTAGGAATGATTCATAAAGATCTGAAAGGCAAAAGGCGATCCCAGAGCCTTTCTATTATTTGATTTATTAAAAAGTGAGAAAAATTGGTAGTTTACCTACGGAAGTTGTACTACTGCTGATAACACATCCAGCACAACAGAATATCTTAATTACAACACTAATATGCTTTTATAATACATTAAACTAATATAATTATTTTAAGATATTTAATTATAACACTAACCTCTATCATAAAATTAAAAAAAAAAACTTTTTCATTACAGAATAGATGCATATTTTGATATTAATAGTTAAACTTCTTACACATTAACTATACTTTTTAACATAAGATTCAGAAGATTACAAAGATTAAAACATATTTTTATGCTGGAAAATATGAAGGTATATTTTGCGAAAAAATCGAATCTCGATTTTGCGAAAATTAAAAAATCGAATATAGGAGTTACAATCAACTATTTTTTTCAAATGAAAACATTCTGTTACAAAAATATTAAGATATTTTATGTCTATCTCTGTTTTAAACAAGTAAAATTTTAGCAAAGATAGAAAGAGTAGCCATTCTGTGGGTTCGATGTGTACTCAGCCTACTAAGTTCTTAAAATGCAAAAATTCTTGAAAAGCTACTGAGGCCCCAGGAAGTAATATTATAGTGAAATCTCAATGGGCGGAAGTTAACTGTCTTAGAAATCTCTTAGCTATAAGCAATGAAATGGAAGAGAATTAAGAGCACTGTACCCCCCCAGGGGGGTACATAATAAGGCATCAAATTCAGTCTTGATGCTCCTTCAATGTTTATGTTCTTTACACCTTTGATTGTCTCTGCCTTCCTTCAGAGTCATCTTCATTTTCATCTTCTTTTTTTGTACTTATGTCGTTTCACCTTTCTTCCTAACACTGGCAAAAAAGTTTGCCAAGTACCTTTTCAGGAGCTGCTGATTTATATATAAGTTGCGTAGTTTCACAGTTTTTTTTTTTTTAATTCTTCTTTTTCAAAATATTGCAACCATAAAAACGATAATCTCGGCAAAACCAGTTTAAACAATGCGGGCGAGAGAATATTTTTCGTATCTTATCTTACACCACAAGCTGAATTTTAAAATATTTTTTTTTTACAAGAAAAGAAACTGTTTGATTTAAGATGGTTGGGACTTGGGGGTGACGGAGGCACTGCTGCCAGGTGTTTGACTGCTTGCATCCACACCATCATTGCTGTGAACCACTGTGAAGTAACGTTCTAGAATGCGAGAAATAGAAGAAGACGTTAAAAGACGAAAACCAACATTAAAATTTACATATATATTACATATGAATTTGTGATGCCATAATCAGCATTACATATTTCCTAGCTCTTAACATTTCTTTTATTTCTTAAATTTGTTTATTTTTTAAATCATTCTTAGTGGATTCTCAACTAAATTAAACCAATTATTTAATTTTTATAAAATTTTTATAAAAAGCTAATAATTTTTTTTTTTAATTAATCAATGTAATGGCTTTTATTTCAACGCATTCAACTTTTTATTTCAATGCAAATGTCAGATTCAATGATTTTCTGTCGCGCCTCAAATGAAAACAAAATCTATTTATAGTTCTTTGTTTCTAACCACCAAAAATATTTTAGTTACATGGTTATACTATTTCTCACAGTCTTTTTGGTGATTAGCTTTGTCAAATTATTTTCAAATTTAATATTGATTAAGGGAGGTTGGCTTCATTTTTGGCTATATTATCTTTCAATAAATCGCCAACTTTGGATTTCTTCCCATGCTCCTAACTGTGAGTTGGGAACGATTCACTTTTCCTTTAATGTTTAATTTTTGGCATAAGGACGAGGGGGTTAGGCCCTCAGCCTAAGCGCTAATCAACGTGTTTTCTTGATGAGAGAACAGGAATGATTATCTTGATATCTTTAAGGGACTTACTTTTCTTCATTTTATAATTTTAAAATGTGGTTATGTGCATTATAATAAGATTTACATAATAAATCAGTTTTTCCTAAACGATTTAATTTATTTTTCTGGAATAAATATCCCTCCTTTATAACAAAAATTCAGATGCATCTCACATTGCCAAAAATAATATTTAAATAATAGAAAGAAACTGCACCCACTATGCAGTAAAGAATTTGGACTAAACTGTCATATAAGTATTAAAATAGCATAAAAGTTTTGATGAACCATGCATCTTCTTCAGTGCACAGTAATGCACAGAAAAAAAAGGCAGAGGAAAATATTATAAAAAAGTTGTAAAAAAAAGGACAAAACTGAATCAGTAAATAAGAAAGGGGAAATTTAAAGATATCAGTGGATTCATCTGTAGCCATAAGAAAAGGAAGCAGAAAATCACTAACACTCTCTAATGGTGTAACGTCAAAAGTCAAAATTTTTGACATTTAAATATTTGTAATTTACTGCTTCCCATGCATTTCGAATAAAAAATAATGTACACTAGAAACTAATTACGTAGGGTGTCCCAGGATTAGTGGGACAAACTCTAAGGGGAGGTCATAAGAATTCAGAATTGCATAGCAATCCATGGTCGGAACAGTCGCGCCATGGATTGGCTGACTTGCTCAAATACACCTGGATTTCGTTGGATATCCGCAACAGCACAGACAATTCTCGCAACCAGATCCATTTCTGAATCCACAGTTGTTGTGCATGCAGCACTTTCANCCCAGGATTATTGGAACAAACTCTAAGGGGAGGTCACAAAAATTCAGAATTGCATAGCAACCCATGGTCGGAAATGTCGTAGGAAAGTATCGTGACATGTACAACAAGAAACCAAGAGACACAATGACATCATCCGAAACATTTAATGGCCAAAGTTATTTCATGCACTGGGGTAGATGATGTGTGAAAAATTCACAAAAGATGTTAAAAGTTTCCACTATTGGTGGTGATTAGGGCTGCAGGTTTGTCGCAGCGCGAATTTCCGCGAAATTGTCATCTTTTTTCCTAAAATCCGCGAATTTCTCAATATGTCTTGACTTGCGCGAAAATTGCTTAAAATATGATTTTTTTTCATTTATTATTTTTATTAAACAGAATTTTTTATTTTCCTGAACCTTCAATTTAACATGTAAAATTGATTAGATATTTAGGGGAGTGAATCAATAGCAAAATGACATGAAAATAGTTCAGAGATAAGAGATAGTCACAATCTTGTCAACTAAGGTGGTCTTTCTACACTTAGGGAGGGTAATTACCTTCCTGAATTCAGTAAGAGTAGGAAAGAAATTGGAATCACAAAAGAAGGAAAATGTTATAAATCAAATCTTTGACAGAAAAATTGTTATACATGCTATTGCACTGAGCAATGAAATTTCTACTGCCTTTCTACATATCCAGTTAATTTTTCCAGGGCGGCTTCTTGTGATTTCTAAAATATGGATCAGTTTCTTAGATGAAGGTGGGGGGGAGGGGACTAGTAGTTAGTAGGGACTTGTAACTAGTAGTTTGAATGTAGAATGTTTGAGTTTTCACAGCAATTACTTCGTACAAAGCAACGGTCAAGGAATTGCGCGTTGGTGAAGGAAAATTGATCTAGTTTGGAAATCAAAGACCGAACGCTCCAAAATTGGCAATTCGAAGTTTGTCGGTGCCTAAAAACAGCGTTGACGCAGAAAGATCGTTTTCTAAGTATAAAAATGTGTTAAGTGATGAAAGACTAAGGATAGATGAGAATAATCTGACAATGTACAATACTTTGTACCCAAATTCTGTTCATTTAAATAAAAATATTAATATTGCTTGAAATTCAAAGAAATACTTTTGTTGTGCATTTGTAAGCTTTTTTTATTATTTGCGCAATTTCTGTCTTTTGCATCATTTATATAATAAATTTTTTTTATGTTTAGAATTTGTGAATTTTCAAAATTTCCCGCGATTTTTCCGCGAATTTGGGGTCTTTTTTCCCGCAACAAACTTGCAGCCCTAGTGGTGATGCATGCATTACACAGTCGCGCCATGGATTGGCTGACTTGCTCAAATACACCTGGATTTCGTTGGATATCCGCAACAGCACAGACAATTCTCGCAACCAGATCCATTTCTGAATCCACAGTTGTTGTGCATGCAGCACTTTCAGTGCACCCCTAAGAAAGAAATCCATTCTGCATAAGTCAGGAGAGCATGGTGGCCAGGAAAATAGTCCACCACGTCCTCTAGCGAGAGTGATGATGCTAATCAACTGAAAAAGGCCTCCTCCTCAATGACAACATATTTAGAATTAGCAGAACATAATTGTTAAAGAATTAAATTTGTTGTTTAAGAAGGGTGATTATTTGGAGTTATTTAATTTTACATACATTCAAAGCTGCCAACATGAATAGGGAAAAAATATCCCGTAGATTTTACGAAATAAAATAAATTGTTGCATAATGTACTAAATATTTTACACATAGGGAATTTCAGGGATTTTTAGAGTCATCAAAATAGAAAAACTGCAATATTTTCAGTTATTATTGACATTAAACATACTTGAAATGTTACTCTTACTCTATTATTTATATTATGTTATATATATTATATTATATTATGTTATATATGTTATGTTATATTTATATTATATTACTATTATGTTTACTCTTAATTTCGAAAATTAATAGCCACTTGATTCATCAAAGATGGTTAAAAGATTTTTTTAAAATTAATTTAAAAAGAGAGCTCTGAATAAAAATAAACTGAACATTTTATAATAAAAAAAGTTTTGAACTGATTTCTACAAATGAGGTTTGCTTCATTAGTAATACTTATTTAATTATTCAATAGCAAGCAATAATCTGTAAAAAAAAAAATCTATTTCAATAGGGATTTTTTAGGAAACTTACTCTATTTTAAGGAATTCTTTAAAATTTACAAAAAACAGGAGAATTTTAATTAAACCAGTAGACCTGGAGAAACTGCAAAATGCAGTAGAGTTGGCAGCTATGTATATTATAACTGATCCACCCAAAAAAGTAAAAATTAAAAAACAATTTAGCGAGAACAAGAGACTGTGGAGTATTTACCTTCAATTTCACCTTCTGCTTCGATAATGTGAGGAGCATCGGAGTCAGAATTCGTCCCAGGCATGAGGCCTGCCATCATATTATAATCGAGGTTCTCATCTAAAGTGATGAAGGGAGCATTCCACCTCGGCACGGGGGTCGTTCGAGGTGTCGAACGAGGCGTCGTTGCTGGTGAAGTAAACATGCTTATGTTGGTTGGGCTGATCATACCACTCATGGCATTCACCGGGCTGATATTTGTATATGAAAAGAGCTGATACAACATAAAGGAAAATCAATTTACTGATTTGGAAATTAATCATTAATGAAAGTTCAATTTTATTTTTCACTGAAGGCTACAAATAATAATTTACTTTGCTATTTTTCACTTACAGAATTTATAAAATCAGTACCAAGTACTGAACAGATAAAATCACAAATTAAGCTTCACAGCCGTGGCCAACAAATTCAAATTTAACGTTTGGTGTTATAAATTAAATTAGTTTGACACATCAAAAATAATTAACATATTAAAAGCAAATTTTACATGCTAGAGTTAGAATGAATAAAGTAGAGATAAGTTTTTTTTTTTTTAAATTTAATAATCGCATTGGAATCAAGATACAGAAAAAGTTAAATAGTGCAAAATATGAAAATTTTCAAATAGCAATGTGTTCACTAGTCATGAGCCAGAGAAGAAGTTCATTCTGAGAGGGGGAATAGGTATTTCTAGGCTGGTTCCCTTAAATCAGTTCACTTCTCTCTGGATCGAAAAGTTTTGAACACAATGAGGTAAAATATGTACGATTGCTGGCAGGGTTTGTTGATTTAAATCAGCTTGTTTTAATCACGATTTAAATCGAATGATTTTTTTAAAAAAATCATTGATTTAAATCAAATTTTTTTTTTTATGTATATATTGATTTAAAATGTTAAGAAACAGTGTTTTAAATTATTGATACCTTTATTATTTCTTTTCTTAGTTTCAAAATTTATTATAATTAAAAATTGCTGCATTAATTAATTTTAGCTAACGAAATTACTTTCTTTCTTGGTATGTGTTAAATTCCGACACATTTCAAATTACATTTTTAAAAGTCTTGATTCTTGAGATTGAAAGTACAGATTAAATTAAACATTTAAGTATCTTTTTCTCATAATATGTTTAGAGTATCTTTGATATTATCAGATTTTCTATAAAGAAATTTTGCGAAAAAAAATTTCAATGAGTACATAGATTTTTTTAAAATTTTTTTAGCTTAAATTATCTATTTTGATATAGGATTAAAAATGAATATTTTAATATAAAAATATATAGATCAGATATTTATTTATTTATTGATGAATGACTACATTTATAGACACAATCTGTTACATTTATTTAGACATTTTAAAAATCAAGAGAGTAAAAAAAAAGAAATCACAATTTCAAATTAAATGATGATTTGGAAATTGGAACTTTGTTTTAATAGTTAAAGTATTCCCTAAATTCTCTATTTCATCTAGTCTTTAAATTTCAACCATGTATTTGTTTCAAAATAGTTGCTATGCATTCAAAGCTATGTACTATAATGAAAAATTGTTTTAGGTAGTTAGAGCTTCTAAAATATTCTTATGATATAATTTTAATATTAATTTAATTTTGATTCAACATTTATAAAGTTTTTTTGTCATAAATCAAACTTCTTTCAGTGTATTTGAATTAAAAAAAAAATCCGATTTAAATCAAAAGAATCACGGACCCTGTTGCTGAGGCATGATACAGCTTGTAATATCCTGATTATGGGATAAAGGAATAAGTAGTTAAACAAGGAATTAAAATAAAATTTTCAAAAAAATTTCTTTTTTACCAACAATAACACAATTAGTAACACCAACTTGTTGCATTAAGTCACTGAACTATTTTTCATAACTGTAGAGATAGTTTTTCACAGTGCTATTTAAATAATAAAGAAAGCTTCTACAGTTCTAAATAGATTTACAGTATGCAGTAGAGTTACGGAAAATTGTCAATATTTACTATTCCTAGTACTCTATTAGAAGGTTACAATGTTTTAAGTTTCCCCATATTTCCTTATACCAACCGATTGTATAGGCTATTACCCCTAACAGCTAATCAATTAGTAAGTTTCTGCCTTTAAAGCAAATTTATATACCTGTTCACAAAATTTGTGGGACAGCTTCAGCCTGAATTTCAATTAAATAAAAAATTTTCTAACAATAAAATAGCTTGAATTAAAAACAAATAAAGTCGGATTTATAAAAATTTCAGAGACGGAAAATCTAAGTGAAAAGCAAGGCAATTAAAAGATTAAGAAAACTCCATTTCATATTTTAGAATAACACTATCTTAGCTTCTTCTTTTTTCTTTTACGTAATTAAAAAACAATGTTGGAGAATGGTTAAAGCCTGTTTAATACTTATCAATTCTTCAACAATAAAGCTATTTAATTTAAAATCCTACATGTTTTTAAAATTTTTGACATCAAAACATAATTTTAAGTAAAATTTAGTGTAATTTTAAAGATAAAAAAAATTTGCTCAGCAACAAGCAGCATGCACAAGTAAAAATTTACCTATCTCTTAATACTGGTTTTAGAATTTATATGAAATAAGTTAATTATAGTCACCTGATGGGCTTGAGGATGAATATGTGAAAAATTGTTGTCTGGCCTTGGCAAGGATGTGAAAGGGCTACTCATGGATCCTCGGTTACTCTGAGACCCATCTAGTCCATTATTTCCTGCTGGAGCAACTAGAATAACCGAAAAATCTTACAAATATTTTTATTATTGTTACAATAAAGAAAAAACATAACACTTAAAACAATGACATTTTAATTCAAACCTCGTAGTGATCGTCAAATAAGTGGATGAGGTGTGCATATAACAAGAAGTTAATTTTAAAATGTTTGAAAATCTTAATACTTATGTTACTTAATTCTCACAAAATAAGGCTTCAATAAAAATTCTCCATTCAGAAGAACTGCTTTCGGAAAAATACAAATTTTAAAACCTCCAAGATGATTTATGCTTTCGTAATCTTTTTTCTCTTTAGTATATGTTAGATTTATTTTATCTGATTTATTATCTTAGATTTATTCTATTTGATTTGATTACTTTAAGTACATTATGTCTTTCTAAGTTTTTACACTATAGTACTACTATGAAATTGAAAGAAAAAAACAAAGCAAGTACTTCACAATAGATTTCGAGTTAAGTGGCTTGACGTTATGATGAACATTAAAATAAAATTTCATTTTTCATTTTGAAACAAAGTTCATTTTTGAAAAAAAATTTTTTTTGCAATATATAGCTTATTATACAGATAGATAAAAATATCAATTTTGAACTTTTCGTTGCTTAGGTTGACTTTTCTATAGTAGCGCAGAGTAGCTCCCATCAGTTGAGTTATTAAAATCTACAAGGTCAACTAAATTTCACTTAGCTTTTATCAGTGCAATAAAATAAATCAACATATATATCTTTCATTTATAACAATAATATGCTTGTTTTAATGTTATACACCTTCTTCATCCACTTACTTTTTTAAGTATAAAAAGTTTGGTAATACAAATCTAATAGATTTAAATATCCATCTAAAATTTATAATATTTAAAAAAATTCCACCTTCCATGTTAGGGGCTATTCAAATATTATGTATGCAAATGTTTGGACCCCCCCGCCCCCCCCCCCCCTTCTGCAAATCACAAATCCCTTCCCATACTTATGTAGGAAAGTTGTTTTATTCTAGTAATTGAATTCTAAAATTAAATTCAAATAAGAAGATTTAACTATACATAAAACAAAGTTTATTTTTTAATTAATTTTATAAAATTTAGACTAGAATATTCTTTAAAAAAAAATTTTAAAATTGCTCAAAGAAATATTTTCAATTTTTTTTTCCTTCCCTGAATTCAACTTATTCCATATTTAAATAATTTTCATACATAATTTATCTTAATATTTTTTATAAACTTTTTTAAAAAATTTTTAAAATAAAGGGATTTTAATATCTACCATAAGCATTGCTCATACCTCTTCTCCCTCCTTGTCAGCAAAAATAAGCAAATTTAATCTCTATATAATATTTGAACGACCCGTTATTTGCAAGTAAAATCATTATCTATTTTATGGCTTTTAAAAAATTGACTTAGCTTCTTTAAGTGAAAAAGATATAAGCAAAAATAAAAAATGAACAATAACAAGGAAAAAAATTCTAGTTTTTAAAAATATGTACAGATCACGGTAAATTTATTATTTAGTAAATTTATTATCATAGAGCTGAACCCTGTCATAGTGAACTGACTGAGGTATAAAATAATAATTAAAATATTCAATATTTTTTTTGTCATTTTATACCAAGCACTGTTGTTATTAAAAGCTTACCAGATGATGTAACTAGAGNGTAATTGAATTCTAAAATTAAATTCAAATAAGAAGATTTAACTATACATAAAACAAAGTTTATTTTTTAATTAATTTTATAAAATTTAGACTAGAATATTCTTTAAAAAACTTTTTAAAATTGCTCAAAGAAATATTTTCAAATTTTTTTTCTTTCCCTGAATTCAACTTATTCCATATTTAAATAATTTTCATACATAATTTATCTTAATATTTCTTTTTATAAACTTTTTTAAAAAAATTTTAAAATAAAGGGATTTTAATGTCTACCATAAGCATTGCTCATACCTCTTTTCCCTCCTTGTCAGCAAAAATAAGTAAATTTAATTCCCATATAATATTTGAAATTATTATCTATTTTATGGCTTTTAAAAAATTTACTTAGCTCTTTTAAGTGAAAAAGATATAAGCAAAAATAAAAAATGAACAATAACAAGGAAAAAAATTCTAGTTTTTAAAAATATGTACAGATCACGGTAAATTTATTATTTAGTAAATTTATTATCATAGAGCTGAACCCTGTCATAGTGAACTGACTGAGGTATAAAATAATAATTAAAATATTCAATATTTTTTTTGTCATTTTATACCAAGCACTGTTGTTATTAAAAGCTTACCAGATAATGTAACTAGAGGAGAAGCTAATTGCTTTAATTCATTTAAAAATAATACGTTAAAGTGAAAAAGTACTCTTCTGTAAGAAACATTTTTGTATAAATGTTTCCTAACACAAATGCATAGCACACAGGAAGGTTTGTAGCACATTTAAAATCACTTACCAGATGAGGTAACTGGAGGAGAGGCTAGTTGCTTTCGGTTGTCTCTCACAACAACAGAGCTAGCAACTGAAGAGGTCTCAGAGACCGGGGAACTATTCCTAGGCCCTGCCTGATTGACATTGTTAGGTGGGCTTGGAGCAGATCCACTTATTTCAGAGAATGAAGCAAGTTTACCTGAAAAAAGTTTCATTTTATTCAATATGTAGTTGCGATTACAATGAAAGCAAAAAATATACATAGGTCTAGCTTTCATTGGCATACTACTGTAAACCAGTCAACCAAGGTTAGGTGTGATTCCTGCTTATAGGGGAAAGAACATCATTTAGGGGTACAGCAAAGGTTCTTGAAACGGGTTTCCCAACCACTTCTGGGGAGTTGGGGTAAAGAAGAAATTTCTAGTTCTGTATTTTTTACACCAGTGGTAGAGTACTGTACTATTACTTAAAATATTCCTTTGAGAATATATTTATATCATCCCTGTTGATTAAAACTTCTAACATATTTTGACATAGAAAGAAAGAATAAAATGGCGGTAGGTGGGATGCAGCATACGAATTTGTGCATGTTGAGTCGTCCAACATTCTGTTCACACGTGATGTACCTCCTGACTGTCACTTTGTTTCTTATGCGCATATGCTGGATCTCAGTTCGAGTGACGCTCTGCTAAATCTGAGTAAGTTGCTCAGCTTGTAAGTTGTTTTTCTGGTATAGCGTGTCACACACAGCAGCTTCCCCCAGTTTACATATTCAAAGAGTTGGACTTCTTCTTTTTTCCATATTCTTTAAGTGAAAGCTTTCATTATTTAGGATCAGGCTATTCAGCTTATGATCTATAACAAATCAAATTTTTAAAAAAATATACGAGACCGCAAAAAAAATGTTTTGACCCATGTGCGAGGACAGGTAATTCTCTATCATGAAAAATAAAATGATAGCACTTCAGCAGATTTATGTAGGCAGAATAAAATCAAGTTTTTTTTCTGTATTTATAGTAGAAGAAATCAAAAATAATTTTGCGTATCAAATTGCATAGCTGCTCAGTACTGAGTCAGTTAAAATTAAAAACTTTGATTTTAACTGAAACTCTCTTTTCTTGTTCAGAAATTCTTTTTTTTTCCCCGTTTATCAATAAATGGAGACAAATGAACATAATAATAGATGGATAAAGAGATAGAGATTTTATTCTTTACACACTATCACAGATTACTGTATAGGTTTCAGTGATGGGAATGTCAGACGTCAAATGAAACAATATGGCAATGAAACATCATCATTAAGAGTAAAAGATAACAAACCATCAAGAAACTTCACACCATCAAGAAACTTCACAAACTCCAATTACAGGTTATTCGTTAAAACATTTAAAAGTTATTAAAAGAACAATTAAAACTTAAACTTTTGATTGTAAACATCTCATACTACAGGTGGACGTCACCGGGTAGAAACGGAATATCGGTACGAAGTTCTCGGACGCTGAACAACAACCCTTTCGAAGGGAAACTGACATCTGCTTGAGTACTGGACATCAGCCTCTTCACTCCCTGCCTTGGCCGCCGGTTGTACTCCGCCGGTATTCATCCGTGCAGGAACTATTCCGGTTCGTCCTCCTACCTTCGGTCTTCGATCTAATACTCGGTTCGTCCTCCTACCTCGGTTTTCATGCTATCTCAGCTTTTGCAACCAACAGCCTCTACAATTACTATGTTTTATTAATTTTTTATTTTATTTTAAAGACTACTTTCCTCTTTTAATTCTTAAAACAATATTTGAAGCGCAAATTGTTTTTTATACCACCTAGAATTATGCATGGGTGCCACTTTACTGAACTTATTTGACAAATTAACACAATCTAGCGTTTACCAGATTTTTTAGAAATTTATAGCTCACTGACTCAAAAATGTACCTTTCTATGTATCAGTACAAGGATCTGATCATTTTTCTAAAAAATTATTTCATTTTATTAATAAATTGTTTTTTTACAGCAATCAAGATAAAAATAATGAGTCTATGTCTTTTTACACCAATCATTGAATAATAAACCAATAATATATTATGAAGCTATTCATATCTTTACTTATTTTTTGCTTCACTGTTATTTTTTGTCTATTTTTTTAAAAAAGAAACTTTATTTTAACAGCAATTTTTAAAAAAAAGGGGGGTAAAATGAAAACAGAAGAAAATTTAGACACAATAGGATAAATTTCGCATAAGCTAGCAGGCACTGAAGCATTGCTTAAAGAGCATTGTTATTGTTACTTTTGCATAATTTTTATGTTTTTGAATACTTGTGTAATAGAAACAATGATACCATTTTTTTATTTCAGTATGACATATTATTACTTGATCATTTTACAATCATTAGGAAAAATAACAATGTTTTAATCAAAATGTATTATTTTATTTTTAACAGAAAATATTTACAAAATTTGTAAAGAGAAAATGACATTTTAATTTAAAAAACAAATGGAAAAGAGATATTCATTGATGAAATTTAGTCTGCTGATTTTTTCTCGAGACTGATTTTAGTCTACAGAACTGAAGAGTGACACCCTTGATTATGTAATTTTAGAAAATTTAGAATGCTTTAATGATTTTTATTACTTTAAATAGGGTCCCATTTTTAATAAAAAATATGTTTGAAATTTGTAAGTCCAGGGGCTTAAAGATGCATACTTTTTAAATTCTAGCAGAATCACTATTATTTAATATCTAATATATCATAGAAAATTCATAGTGGTCTCTAATTTTTTCCACAACATAGTGGAAGTATACCACATTGTCTCACTTTGCACTATTAAATGTAACACATTTTTAAAAATTAAATAATAATTTAATAAAGTTATAAATACATAAAAGTTATATTTACCTGTTGACCTAATAATAGCAACAGGCCTTGCCATAGGAGCAGGCGGAGGAGGAGGAAGCATTGGGTTTGAATAAAAGTGTGGTAGTTTAGTGGGACTCTGAGCCTCGGAATCTTGGCTAGTCTGTACAAAAAATGTCAACTTTAATATAACTGAACCACAGAAAGATCAATAACAATTTCATTTCCTCAATTATTCAATTTTAATATTGACTTTATGTAATGTCAGTTTTTTTTCTGTTTTTCTTAAATTTTATTCAATGATGTGGGGAAAAAGTAGTTAAAGGTTCCGAATTATACTATAACACTAAATATACAAAAAAAATTTTTTTTTAAAATATTGCAATGAATTCTAATTATCTTCATATACACTGACCAAAAAGTGTAGCTTATTTATATGCTTGAAATATGTGTAAAAGTATGCTTTTGGATACCAGAGTATCTTGATTCTCAAGTATATCTGATAAAGTACTTTGAAACATAATTATGCAAAATAGTAATAATTATAAAAATAATTACAACATGCCTTTTAGATAAGAAAAAGAGATGTTCAAGGTAATATAATTATATTTATATTGTTCCTATTTCTATAAAAATTGTAGAAGAAAACTAATTTTAGAGAAGAAAACTAATCTAGTTAGTTCTGCAAAGGAATGTTAATTTATGAGTGCATTAACAATTAAAAAAATTAAACCAAAGGTTGGTTGAATATTGAATTTAGTGCCAAAAAAGATAGGGGGGGGGCTAGGTCAAACTCATATTACTGAATGTTGAATGTAATAAAATTAAGTAGTGTTATGAAGTTTGATACGAAAAAAGGGAACTTCAATTTCTAATTTGCAATTATCAACAAAGACAATATATATATACTGGGGTCTGTCTAGGTTTTTCAGAGAGGTACCTATTTTGTGAAAATTTAGACATAATTTGTGAAAATGAAAAATTATATAAAAAAAATCAACTCAAAAATATGGATTATCGTTTCTTACGAGATACAAAAATAAAATTTTAAGAAAAAATATTTTGTGGAACTACTGTTTTCTTCAAGTTGAATTTGTGAAGGTACAGCTAAACGGTAGTAAATTTGGCCTGGACATGCCCCTGATATATATATATATATATATATATATGTGATTGCGCGCANTTTTGACATTTTTAACTCTGTAGTATATATATATATAATATGAGCTAAGATTTAAAAATATTATAAGTTTCTTTTCATAAAATGACTTAATTCCCAAAAATCCTAATAGCACTCTCCAAGCACTCTTTGCCACCACGCTTAACATATATTACTTCAAAAATACTTGTGTTACAAAAAATTACTTTTCCAACTCTCAAATAACTTACTTGTGGGCTTGGACCAGAATTCTGGGCTTCTTGGCACACTAAATTTACAAAGTCAGAAAGAGCATCTCCATTTTCTTGATATTTTCCAGGGCCTAAGTAATAGGAACTGGAATGAGGAAGAGGACCACTTATGTTGGAGGCTTGGGATGTCATGTTCATAGCCGTATGCTGCTGTAGGCCTTTGAAAAGAAGGTACACATATTGCATTTAAGTACAAAATAGAAGAATTAACTGCTAAAAACTATTCAGAATTAGTGAATATTTTGAAGTTGTATATGAGTATTATATAGCTAATTACTAATACTTAAAGAATTTCCAGAGTTTATTAGGAATTTCTCATAGAATTTCAAGCTGACCTACGTCCATTTCCTGAAAATGCTAGGTTTATCCTACTGAGCGCTTTAATAATAATAAAAACAGAGCAAGTCATTTAATTGCATAGAAAGAAAACATTGAACCAACTCCTAATTGACCAGACTTTGTACTACAGCATAAACAAACACTGGTTGTATTTTTTTATGGCATGGTTCTATCACATCCGAAATTATTTTATTTTAGGAGAGTACCTTTAACCACTTAGTAGCACATTTTCATATAACCTGGCATTACATGTGTGATATTACTCAAAGAACAAAAACTTGGTTATACACTTCCGATTTTCCGAGCCTGCACTCAGACACAAGATAATGGACTCAAACTTTTCACTAATCCTAACAAGACGTGATATAAGGTGATGACTTTTTTCAGGTGTGATGATAAAAGAGTACTTCCCTAGCCCGACTTTGTAAATTGAGCGTTCATACATAAAAATTCTAATTTTATTCATTGGAAAAAAAGTTAGTAGAGCAGTAAAGTATTAGGTGCATTCAACAATCTATTAATCACGCAACTGCAAATTTTTCTTAGAACAAAATTAATACATATTTGAAAATTTAAGTTTCCATTACTATAAGATTAAAATATAAAGCACCATTAAAAAATAATGTATGGAAATTCTACTTTTTAAAGACATTTGTTTTTAATCATTAACACAACTGCTGATTTTTCTTAGAATGATTTTAATAAATAATTGATAATTTGATTATTGATTGTCATTATAGTTAGATTAAAACATGAAGCACCATTAAAAAATAATGAATGGAAATTCTAATATATAAAAGCATTTTTTTATTTTATGCATAGTATAACTTTCGATAAGACATTTATTAAACCCATCCTACAGCCAAAAGAAAAACAAATTTTTAAAAACTCTTAAAAAGAAATTGAAAAAACAGATAAAATATAACCAATATGAAATATCTTGATATATATATAACACAGTAACTATAGCATATAATAAAGAGGAGAAAATACAAACATCGACCTTTTAATTGCTAAATATTTTCTAAAACAGAGAGAGGTAAGTGCATGAAGCGTAGCAAACAATGTGCGTTTTGAGAGTCTGTGAGACTATGTGCATTATTAAGGAAAACAATTGCAAAGAAGGATTTCCACAGAAATACAAAATATATGGAGCTTAAGTGCAAGAGTGCTCAAAACATTTCAATACATAGGACAGAGATCAGCAATATCCAAAGGCAAAGAGAGGTTATTGCACTGAGGAGAAATTGAAACAGAAAGAGTTTCCGATAAAGGATTTTTCTCTACACTGCTTTTTATCAAGACTATGATGGAAAAAAAATTAAATTTAAAATAAAAAGTTAGGAAAGTAGTTTTTTCACTGCACCCATCCATCAAGAATGAAATGCACACATTTCTTTGGTACTTTGGGATTATCTTGCTGACCTGTACATTGGGATTATCCTGGCAGCATGTCGGCACTTGCAAAAATGTGCAAATTCTTAGGCGCCATCATAGTGAAAATCAATTTCCAAAATAAACATTCTAAACACATTAAATTTATTAAATAATAATAAAATAATAATAACAAAAATTTAAAAATACGTAATAAAAAAGTATAATAAAAAGAATAAAAAAGTAAAAACCTTTTTTTTTATAATTACTAATCAGTTTTGATATACAATGTCATATCATGGCCATTTACGCACATTTTCTTAGAAAAAAAGATTTTATACTCTTTAAAATATGCCACTGCACACTCTTCAGTGGCAGGCTAATCCCAAATTCAAATCATTTTACAGCGGAGTTAAAAAAAAAACATTTAAAAAAAAAACGCAGTATATTTCAGAATGCTAAAGAAAACTAACCCGCGTAGTCAAGGATTACACAGTAAATATGATATAATTCGCAGTTATTGGCGTATAAGCTACCTTTTGGGGATAATATCAGGTTTGATGAAAATGGTCAACAGGATAATTACAAAGTACAAAAATTTGAGATTTTAGCTTTACTTCAAAAAAGTCTGTCAAAAATGGCTATGAGTTTTGAACATATAATTTATTTATATAATTACTAATATCTGAAAAACTATTACTGGAAATTGAGCCAAAAGAAACATTAGTTCAGAATCTATATCCCTCTTAGTTTTAAAGTTTAGCATTTCAGTAAAATATCAATTCCAAAAAAATATCAAAAGATGTGGTTTGTGGTTTTCAGGTTTCATTGTTGGCCAAATTAAGAATCCAGATAAAAAAAAATTAAAAATCAAGGCATTTTTTACAGATAACAGCAAACATATACCAAACTACTTTTAAAAAAAGCGGCAAACTAAATATAGGTATAATTGACTCTATTTAAGAATAATGAGGAAAACTTTATTGCAAAGAAATAATAAACTGTGTTAATTTAAGACTTAATTTGTTTAGAACAGAAAATTTCAACAGTATAATTTTACTAATGGAGCACAATGTTTAGTTTTATAAACAGCATCATTTCCTAGCTGATGCAGAGAAAAATCCTCATTAAAATAAAGCTATAAAAGAATTGAGAGTGAGATCTTCCATGAAAATTAAAAAAAGCATTGTACACGAAGCAACTTCTTATGCAGTATGCAACACAACAATCAGGGTTAGATGAACACTTATTTACTCCTGATACAACACTTACCATCTTGATGTTTAGATGAATGGGCAACCTCATTTGCATCTATTTCCTTGGCATGTGGGGTCAGGGGTCCACCTGTAATAGTTACAAATCTGTTTCGATGCTTAATTCTCTTTGTTTTAGAGGAAGGCAGAAGAAATAAAAGGAAGAAAGAGAAAAGTAAAAATTGGTGTCACGACCAAAATTTTCTGCATGTTTGAAAAGAAGACATATTTTAGTAAATCCTAAATTGGAATTGAATAAAATAATGAATTGATTTTGCATCACAAAGAGAGCACACTCGCCATTTCAAATATCCATTTTTAATAATTAATAGAGAATATTATAGAGAACACTGCAGAGCCAAGAAACCAGATGAGTGAGATTTAAGAAAAAAAATCCAACTCAAAACAAGTAACAGAGTTTCCAAGTTTAAAAGTAATGAAACGTGAGAATAAGAGTCAAAAGTAAGAAAAATAGTCAGAAAGTTAAAAAGTGATAGAAAAGCTGAAACAAAATATAAAAACAGATCACAGATATTAGTAAGCATTTTCACATTTATAGATAATAGATTTGATTAATAATAGAAAAATTAATTTATAAAGAAGTCATATGCCTCTTTTAAGAGTAGTAATTAGGAATACTAATGAAGAATAGTTAGGTTTAAGAACAGTGATTTGCAAAAAATCAACAATTGATATTTATGATGTATGAGAAAAATTTTTAATTTTTTAATATGCACATAATAAAAAAAAATTATGCATGTCACAAAAGCATTACATCACATATAAACAATACTCTATTTAAAATTCTTATCAAAAAAATAATAAATAATACAAAATTTTTGACATTTTTAACTCTCTGTAGTGCAGAAAATTTTTGATCAAAATTTTTACAGAAAAGGACCAGAAGAAGTATAGTCGTTGAATGCACGCCCACGATAAAACACTATTTTGAAAAATATGTGCATAAAGCTAATGCTTTTTCTTTAATTTTTTCAAGATTTAAAATAGTTATTAATAAAATTTGCTGTTTTTAAGGTTAAAACTAATACACTCCTGGTGGTTATATACATTTATTAAAAACTAAATGACAATATCAAAACTATTAGACAACTGTGAAATAAAAGATAAAATCATTATTTATTAATTTTGATAAAAACTGAAGAATTTTATAAAAACCATTTTTAGGTAAGTAAATTTTTAATGAAATATCAAACTAAAATAAATGTTAGATAAATATAAAAAAAATATAGATATAATTAAAAAATATATAAATAAAGTACTGACCTTGGTCAATATCACTACTCCAAGACGCTTGGCTATGTAACTGAGCTGGGCTCTGGCCATAGAAACTAGTGATGTCATTATGAACTTTGTCTACATCGTCTTCGCTAGAGGACATTTTACGCAGGCGCTTGTTGTGAGGTTCTTCTGGTGGACTAGGAGGATGAGACGTGCTGTGATTGTTATGTGGGTGCAGAGAAAGGCCCGCTGCACCAGAGGGCAACCCTCCTCCTCTGTGATCAGGCGGTGATGAGTAACTATTGCAATAATAGGTAGGAGATTCTATCTTGATCATACTCAGAGCGGGTTGGCAATTACTTGTAGCTTGCAAAATAGATGCTGTCACAACAAAAAAAGAACACATTTAAGCTTGATGTATGTCAGAGAATGAATATCAACATGTAAAGTATGAAATTAAAAGGGTACAACATTTTTGTTCTGATGAAGTATTTCCTTTTCCGACTATTTGACATGTTGCAAAAAAATAAGCTGAAAATTCTTCATGACAATGTGCAGTAGCTTTTCTATTGTTTGAATAAACTGTATACATATTTTTCTGAAATTTTATTTAAAAATTCTGATATCGTTCGTAAAGAAATAAAGTGATGTTTGAAACACTCTAATATTTAGAATTCTTAACTCGTTGGCGGCTTATCAAAGGGGCAACATAGGGAAATAGTATGTAGGGGTGAAACATTCTCCCTATGTAATAACATAGAAAAACCGCTTAAGATACGACTTTTTACGTGCAGAACCTCAAGTGGGTTAAACATACCATTATTAACTGCTTCTCTGATTATCCCGAATTAACTTTGTATCTATATATTGGAAATATTTATCATCCCAAGAAAACTTGGTCGTAGCAGAATTTTTCAGTACGTTTTCTTTAATTGCGTTTTTACTCAACAAAAAAAAATTATCTGCTGTGATTGAAAGTTTGCCAAGTTTTGCAGTTGGGTTGTAGGACTGCACACCCGTTATGTGCGCTTATACGTACAATGCTTGTTGAATTTCTATAGTAAAGAAAAAGAGGACGTATCACTTCACCGTTTGGAAAGTATCACTTTTTTTGTCCCTTATTTTAAAAACCATCATACAAAGACTATTTAGCTTTTTTTCATTTGCCCGAGATAGTAAATTAATTTTTTTTACACATTAAAAAAATTAAAATTTCAGCCTAGAACTTGTGTATTATGTTTTATATTTTTGTTCCTTGTATTTATTAATGAAATAAAAAATATGTTGATTTTTTGCAATTTTCTTTTCAAAAGAATTAATTTGTAAGAGAAGCAGTTTAAAAAAAAGTTAAACATTATTTAAAACTGTGTAGCTTCTTTCTTTTTTCTTTGGATACCAGATGTTGTTGTTAATTTACGTCGCACTAGAGCTGCACAATGGGCTATTGGCGACGGTCTGGGAAACATCCCGGAGGATGATCCGAAGACATGCCATCACAATTTTGATCCTCTGCGGAGGGGATGGCNTTTGCCCGAGATAGTAAATTAATTTTTTTACACATTAAAAGAATTAAAATTTCAGCCTAGAACTTGTGTATTATGTTTTATTTTAGTTCCTTGTATTTATTAATGAAACAAAAAAATATGCTGATTTTTTGCAATTTTCTTTTCAAAAGAATTAATTTGTAAGGGAAGCAGTTTAAAAAAAGTTAAACACTATTTAAAACTGTGTAGCTTCTTTTTTTCTTCTTTGGATACCAGATGTGCACCAAGTGTGTCATTACAGAAAATAATTTTACGTCTCATTCCATTTGTTTTAGCAAAGTGTTCAAATGAGGAAGAATTAATGAGCGACAGAGGGGAGTGCCTCAAATTTATTTTAATCAAGGTCTCTGTAGATAAACATTAGAATGGTGTTGCAGATTAATAAAGAGGTTTTTGCTATTGCCTGTTGGATAAGTATATTTCTTTTTCTTTGTAGTGTTACAAAAACTACAAACTAATAGAATAAAATTTTTTGCACAAACGCAAAAATCGGCAATTGACAATGAAAATATTCAGACTCACTTCCCTAAAAAGGATTATATCAATGAAATAGTGACAAATGCCTTTTTTTCGGCAAAAATTGCTATACCCTGACTACATATTTCCAGATTTAAAAATGTCTAAACTTTTAAATGAAATAAAAATTTTAAAAATAAAACAGGGATGCCAACTATTCCGCTTTCTGCACAAGTTTTAATAAATTGGTAGGGAATTAATATCAAAACGTGTAGAATTAATAATAGTTACGTTTACTACTTAACACAGTAATTACAAGATGCACGCAATTAAGTCACATCTCATACGATACTTAAAATTGTTGATAAGTAGTGGTGAAAAAATTACTTAAAATGAAAAATGCTAAAACAAAAATACCTTCAATATCGTTACCACTCGAAAATACTTTTTCACAAAGCAGAGCAAGTGGGCATCTCCGATAAAACATTCAAAGAAAAATTAGTGAAAGAAAGTAGTTTAATACTCATTACTTTTCAATCAAAGCTTAAAAATAAAAAAAAAGTGTGTGGGATTTTTAAATTAAAAGCTACTAAGGAAAAACGGGTCTTTAAAAGTAAATGACATCCAATCCAAAACTGGTACATATTAATATTTATTGCTCACCTCTGGATAATCTATATAGTTCTGCAGATGTAAAAACACCAGAAGCAAAGACGAAATCTGGTTCTGCAAAACAAAAAGATCACCCTGATATTTCAGATTGTTCTTTTTGTGCATTTAACAAACACTCAAATGAAATAATAGTGACACCAGTTGTGGACTGGAGTTAATTACTAAACATACCCAACTGTTTGGATAAGCAATAAAAGTTTTATTCCAACTTATAAACACACATACTTTATTATTCAAGAAACCAAAAAAAAAAAAAGAATTTTTTTTATCAAACTTTACATTTAAATTCTTGGAACATACATTTATAAGCTGAAATTAAAATAAATACAAGGAATTGGTGATCAAAATGAGCTACAAATGGAACTTGGCAGAGCTGTTTACCTATAACATTGCTTCAGAAATAGTGAGTGGATAGTCATAGGAATAGAAAATGGAACTAAATTAATACAGTTAAGCTATATAACAACTTCTATAGTAAAAAAGACATTATGATGAGAGATCAGTTCACAGTACTATAACAAATATTTACTCATAATTTATGAAATACTGGACTGCTCTTCTATCCACTACCCTCAAAATGTCTAATTTCTGTTTCAAGCACGTTGTTTACAAGTTACAGCTTATTTCGCTAAATATAATATGTCTAAAGAACTGCAAAGTCTAAGCCAAAATAAAATCAAGATGAATATAAAAACCCTTCCAAAAAAAAAAAAAAAACAAATCTTATAACACTGCTTAAACAGAGTGAATACAGTTTTCAAACAAGATTTATGAATTTATTAAACTCTTTGTAAAGAAAAGTACAAAGGTTATAAATGCATATAGAAGATTACGATATCAACAAGAGGATGCTTTTAATCTTGATTGTTTACACCTAGGAAAATTGCAAAAAAATAGAAAAATGATTGACGAATTTATTAAACTCTTTGTTAAGAAATGTACAAAGGTTATAAATGCATATAAAAGATTCTGATATCAACAAGAAGATGCTTTTAATCGTTGATTGTTAACAAAAAATAAATAAATAGAAAAACAGAGTTCCTACACTATTTTGAGAAAACAATATCCTGACTTTTGCAGGTTTTTCCTGATCTTTTACTATAAAATTCCTGACCCGCCATTTCTCACTCCAACAAAGCTTTTAACATTGCACTTTCAATTAATTATAATATGTTACTTAGTCATAAGTATCATATACTGAATAGGATAAACACTTATATATTAAAGTGGAATTGGGTAATAGCACTTTATCCCAAATTATATTTTCAGAAAACTTGTGAAACATATTTTTAATTATCATGGTTAGTTTAAACTTTTAGTGTGTTTTGTAGTTAGATACGAAAACTATTTAAATTAAAAAGATCAAGAAAATCTGTTGGATTAAGGAAATATTATTTTGTTTAATGTTAAGTGGAACCAAATGCATGAGTGTCATCAGGATATAAAGGGTTAATCAAATCTGCGAGATATGTATCAGTATCCTCAAATAATATTTACTCTTAAAGCATACTAGAACATTTGTTACATAAAGTTATTAATTTTTAAAAATCACCAATTCACTTCAAACTGAGTTTTCTTTTAAAAGATAATATTGAAATATAAAGGGGAAAAAAGTCAAGAAAAGTTAATTATATACAAATAAAAATTCAGATAGAAAAATTATGCAACTTGTGACAAAAATAAAATCAAAAATCTTTTTTTTCCAGTATTTTTAAATTTATTTCTGTAATACTGTAAGCTTCCGGAGAAACTCAGGGGCTCCTATGTTATATACAGGGATGTGATTGACAAAAACACAAAAAAGAGGAAGTTTATAACTGTAGTATTAAACGTGCAAAAGAAAAAATATGAATTCAATAGCCAATCTGATAATGATTACATTATTATCTATTCAAATAAATATAAATAAATGGTAATTATGTTCTTAAATAAAATCTTGATTAAAATAATTTTTTTTTAATAATTTAGATAACTTTGAGTAATTATGCATAAGCAGGATTTTATGTATCACATCATTTTAAAAAACATTTCTTTATTGGTTAAAGGACCTTTATGGACTTTCTCATCAGTTCTTTGTTTTTTCGATGGTCTTTTATTAACATGACTGATCTGTAGACTGCGTTTTGCAGACTTTTGATCATCAGTGTTGATAGGACAAGAAAGTTCATTTCTCACACAATTTTTAGAGGCCTTAGATTAAGAATCGCGATGTTGGATTTCAAAATC